TCGGCTCGGGTCATGATCCTGGAATCGCGGAATCACGGGATCGAGTCCCGCATCGGGCTCCCTGCTCAGCAGGGAGTCTGCCTCTCCCTCTAACCCTCCCCCATCTCATGCTCTCTCTCTCTCTCTCTATCTCATTCTCTCTCTCAAATAAAATCTTTAAAAAAAAAAAAAGACGCAAGTGGGGAAGGCAAAATGTCAATTGTGACTCACATCATGATGATGTGAGTGTTAGAGACGCAAGCAGCTTGTAGGGTCCCAGAAGAAAGAGTGAGGATCAGGTCTGGGCAACTCTGGGAAGGCTCTATGGCATTTGGATTCGACCTTGAATACTGAAGAGGATTTCAACAGGGAAAGAAAAACGGGGAAGTATTTTGCTGATTCTTGAAACTGCACCTACAAAGTGAGATCAGAGATGTTTAAACACTGTCCTTTTTACCACACCAGTTGGGTAGTGTAAAGGCAAAATTCTGCATTTGAGTCCAGACTGTGACACATTTTGGGGGCTAGTCACATGTCTTCTCTGAGCCTCAATTTTCTCATCTGAAAAATAGGAATGTCAGCCATTTCACAGAGTTGCCATGAAGATCAAGTCATTCAAGCCCAAAGTGCCAGCCCCACAGTAAGCACTGGATGCATATTTCTTGAGTAAATATAACACATAGCATTTGATGAGAGACTTTTACAAACATTTTAATTCTCCAGCAACATTTTATTACGGTCCCGGCTCACAGTCTAGCAATAGAAAGTGTTACCCCCAAGACTCCCCACTTCCATGGGAGGCTGAGCTCTGCGTCCAACAACCTGCCCAACAAGGGAAGAGAAGTCACGTGCAGAGCTGTAACCCTGCCCTCAACAAGGGTGAGAGCATTTCCCCTCAAATGTCTATGGAGGGGTCCCACAATCCCAGCTACTCACTGCCTTGTGCCCATTTTCAGAGTGGGGTCTGTGAGGCACCTTAATCAACTCCTATAAAACATAGGCCAGTACCCAACTCCCTGGATCTCTGGAGGTGGGGTCTGGGGATCTGCATTTGGAACAAACTCCCACTCCTAAGGTATGGGAACGTTCGGGGCTGTTGTCACCCCTGCCTGGACTGTCCTTGCTCAGACAGACACAGGGCTTCCTCCACTCAGGTCTGTGTTTAAATGTCTGCTCCTCGGAGAGGTCTCTCCTGGCCGCCCGACCTAAGAGTTGCCCCTGCCATTTTCTATCCTCTTCATGTGCCTTACTTTTCACCATGAAGTACTCAGGACCTGACCCTATATTACACTTATGTTTGCATGTTTATTATCTGGCTCTCCCCTGAAAATGGAAGCTTCAGGAACATGTCCGTTCCGCTGTTGGACCTTTAGCACTGACAGCAGCGCCCGCTAGAGAGCGGATCTTAGCTACTTGTTAAACGAAGAAGTGCTCTGTGCCCCGGCAGGTGCGCTGGTCACCAGTGCTGTCTGCCAAATAGTTCCAGCTCTTTCCCCATTCTGAGCACAGGACGGCATTGCCCCCCTTGTGGAGGGCGGGCTCTACGCCTCGGGGCTCTCTTGGCTTCCTTCTGCATAGTGGCCGGCAAATTGTGATGTGGTGGCCGCTCCATCAGCCCGGGGCCCTGAATGGCTTTGAAGAAGAGCCTCCCTGCCAACTGGCAGAGGGCATGTCAGAGTGAGAAAGAGGTTTCTAGTTTAAAGGCAGTGAGATTTGCAGGTTATTACCACAGCATAACCTAACCTGTCCTGACTGGTCCAGGGAGCTTATGCAAACAGCTGTTCTCTCAGAATCACTGGGAGGTCCCCGACATGCTCTGGGGATTTCAGCAACTTCAGATGCCTCAAAGCCAAACAAAACCGAAAACTTCCCCTTCAGAAAGTCAGGATGCATTCTGTCCTTCCCCTTTCCTTCCTACTGGGAAGCTCAGCAGGGGGTGGGCGGGGGACAGTCCACCCCCCCCCCCCCCCTGCCGTGGAGGAACCAACACGCTCCCGGACCACCTCTGAAGTGACCTCACACACTGACCACACACTCCAACAACTGGCATTTTCCCCTTGGTCAAAAATAAAAACAGCACACCTACTCTCCTGGGAGTGAGTCACAAACAGAAAAAAGTCGATGGCTCTGGGCCAAGAGGATCTGCGAACACGGGGAAAAACTCCCAGTGGACGTGTCTCAGCAGATGCTGTGCTTTCACCCTGCTGGCCCGCTGGACCAAAGAGCCATCCAAACAACTCTGAACCTCAAGCATCGGACACTGCGCCAGGCCAGGCATCGTCCTGACCCTCCACTGAGACTCGTATTTCTTTAGTACTTCCTCCCTGGGGAAGGAGGACTGACTTGAGAGAGAGAGTGTGTTGTGGGAGGGGCTGCTCCTTCAGGGAAGAAGGGGACTGGGCTGGGAAAGATGGTATCAGAGGAGGCAAGTCCCAGGCAGGGAGCCTCCTGTTGGGGGTCAGGGGTGGCAACTACCTCTCCCAACCTCAATTTCTTGGCTCAGGCAGATGAACCTTAAGATAAACTTGATAAACTTTTTGGGTTGGCTACATGAGGTTATGTTATCCCCATCTTCATCTCCGTTCCCATCCCAGAAGCCAAATGTAGGGCTCTGGCCCTGCACAATCTCCTCCACCATCCAGGGCTGAGAGCAGCCACCCCCATTCCTCCAAATCAGAGCTGGAGCAGGAAAGGAAACCCAATTTTTCTGTGCATCTCAGACAAATGGGAGGGGGTTTACGTCTGGTTGTTCCAGACAGTCCTCAGTTTCCCAGGGCTAAAGGAGACACTCATCCAATGAGCCTCTCTATATGGGGGACCTGGCCTAGGCTGCCCAAACTCATGCTTGGTGGGGGCAGGGAGGGGGATGGAGGACAGAGATGGCAATTGTTGGCAATTATTTCACAAATGGCATTTTAGAACTGGCCTTTCAGAGATGTGCTCATTGCCAGGTCCTTTCTTCTTGCCATGCCCAGCTGTCACCCAGAGCTCAAGCTGGGTCCACACCCTGGACCTCACCCAGCTCCCTGCCTCCTGGGGGGGAGTGATCTCCTCCAACGAGTCTCAAGCCTGTGGTGATGGATGGATAACAGAGGGGTGGATACAAGCAGATCTTTATACGCAATGCAGGTTTCTGCAACAACCCCAAGAAAACTGCCGAAAAAGTGGAAGAGGTGGGAATAAGAGACCAAAAAGGAGAACTGTACTTTCCTGCGTGAACATTCAGCAGAAAGCATTCAGGGATAGAGCCCCCCCTCCCGCCCCCCGCCATGAGTTTTTCTCAGTGTGCCCACTGAAGTTCACCTGCCCTGTGGGGAAAAGAACAGAGAAGCCCCCCTTATCACCACCTTAGATCTAGAGCAGTGGAGTCCTTGGGCCAGCAGCAGCAACACCACCTGGGAATCTGTTAAAAATGCAACATCTCAAACCTCAGCCCTAAACTCCTACTGAGTCAGAAACTCTAGGGGTGGAGCCCTGTAACCTGTGATTTAACAAGCCCTCCAACGGACTGGACGCCAAAGTTTGAAATCACTGATGGGAGAGAAAGCAAGGTTCGGACAGGGGAGCGGAAAGGTGGGGGAAGGGAGTAAAGGGGGTGGCTCATGATGCACCCTCCCTCATCTCAACTCCTGCTCTGTAACACTGTCGAGTTGCCTATTCTCCCTTGTGCCCAGAAACGACCTCCTCAAGTGAGAAGCTCCAGCCTCTCGTGAGACCCGGGGACGCGGCACTACAAATGAGGAGGGCTTTCTGATTGCCACCACCATGAAGGAGAAGCCATGGACCAAAGCAGGCTGGGAATTCCCTGACCACTCGACTCTTGAAATTTTAGGAATTACCTAAAAATTACCTCCAAGGGGAAAGAAAAAGCAAAAGTGAAGATTCCCCTACCAGACGCTAGGGGGAGTCCCATCTCTGGCCTGGGAAGAAGAGCGTGCGTCTCAGGTCTAGAGGAATGTAGATTATTTCCAAAGTTGGTTGCTGGTGACCTCTGTTAAATCAACCAAACGGAACCCCAAGTTTTAAGAGGACAGTCAGTGATCACCGCGTCAGAGTGGTGGATCGCAAAAGCATTTACCTGTCTTCCCACTCCCAGACCAATTTACAGGCAAAAACAAAAACCTAGAGAGGCTGGGGAGGGCCCCGGGTCATGCAGCTGGCCTGTTCAAAGATCCAGCAGTCCCGTTGCCCGCCCACGAGAGACGATCAGGACAGGCTACGTAATTTGTAGGACCTAGTGTAAAGAGAAAATGACGGGCCCTCTGTTCAAAAAGTATTAAGACTTTCAAGACGGTGAAGTCAGAGCATCCAAATGGAAGGGACAGAGGAGGTTATGAAGCCGGCTCTGGCGCCAGCAGGAAGGAGTTCGTCTTCGGGTCCCACAGGTGAGCTGTCCATCCCAATACAGAGTAGGGCTTTCGGGGCTGGTGTTTCCACAGTAGTTCCTGGAGCAGCTGTGGGGAAAGGAGGGTTTGGTTTGGGAAGATAAGCTCTCCCAAGCCATGCGGCGAGGGAGCGGTCTCACGATCCCCCAGGGCCCCGATCATACAACCCCAGTCTTCCGGGAAAGGAATATCCTACCAGACAGGGCTGCCCAGAGAGGGGAAATCCAGCAAGAGTGAAAGTCGCAGGCGGACACCCTAGCCGGCCGCGAGGCGGCTTCCCGCGGTCAGCCTCGGAAGCGTCCCCCGCGGCGCGTCCCTCGGCGTCACGGGACTCGGCGCGGCTGCGGGGGCCGGAGCGCCGGCGGGGCCTGCCCAACCCACGCGCGGCCGGCTGGCCAGGGGGCGTCGCCGGCGTCGGGGGGGTGGCACGGCCCACACCCTCCCGTGGGCAGGAGAAGCGGGAGGGTGGCGCGCGGGCACCCGGCCCGGGGACCTCTCCAAAGACCCATCCCCAGCGAGTTCCTAAGCCCTTCCCTGCCGCCTGCTCCCTCACCTGGGCGTGTTGCGGTGCAGGGATGCGGGGGAGAGGGGGGAGCTGGTGTTGGGGGAAGTGATGGGAGAGGGAAGGAGGCAGGGCTGAAGGCAAGACGGTCCCGACAGCAACGCCTCCTCAACGGCCCCGGTCGTCCGGGCCGCTCCCCGCAGACGCCGCGAAATCCGCGCTGCCTCCCGCGCCCCCCGCCGCTCGGCCGGTCGGGGGTTCCCCGGGGCGCCCTTCCTGCCGCGCGCCCGTCTCCCCGCCCCCGCCCCGCCCTGCAGGCTGCGGTCCCTTTAAAGGCGCGCTCGTGTGGGGCCGCCCTTCTCTCGAGGCTGACTCGGGAGCCGCGCCGCCGCCACCGCCAGCCGCCGCCGCTCGCCAGGCATGGCCATGGCGTCCCCGGCCATCGGGCAGCGTCCCTACCGGCTGCTCTTGGACCCAGAACCGCCGCGCTACCTGCAGAGCCTGAGCGGCCCCGAGCCGCCGCCGCCCCCCGGCCGCTCCTCGCGCCGCTGCGCCCCCGCGCCCCTCTCCACTGCGCCCGGGGCGCACGAGGGGCGCGGCGCCCGGAGGGCGGCCCGGGGGGACCCGGAGCCCCAACCTCGGGCCTCGCGACCCGCCCGCCCTCTCCGGCCTGGTCTGCAGCAGAGACTGCGGCGGCGGCCTGGAGCGCCCCGGCCCCGCGACGTGCGGAGCATCTTCGAGCAGCCGCAGGATCCCCGCGTCCCGGTGGAGCGAGGCGAGGGGCACAGCTTCGGCGACCTGGCGCTGCGGAGCGGCCCGGGCTGGTGTGACCTGTGCGGACGAGAGGTGCTGCGGCAGGCGCTGCGCTGCGCTAGTGAGTGTGAGGGCAGGGCAGGGGAGGGGCGCGCGGGAAGCCCGCAGTCCGCCGGGGGGCGGGGGGGGGGGCGGGGGAACTGCCAGGGGGCTGGCGCAGGGGACGGTCGTTGCTCTTCTCCACTTCAACCAAGGGAGACACGCCCGGGGGGACTGCTTCTTAGTCCCCTGGCGGGTAGGCTTTAGTGACTGCCTACCGCCCAGCTACGGCGATGCTGTGTTTGACAAATACCTCTTTCCCTGACAGGTGCGTACCCCGCCCCTACACACACACACACACACACACAGAGTCACTCACTCAGGTTGGGGATGATGACCAGGGCGTCAAGGTCATTCCGTTGTCTCCCACGCACCCTCTTGCTTTTGTTGTAGCTTCTTGACAGTGGGTTGTGAGACTGGTATTGATATGGCCATTTGACCCGTGCTTATTAGGGTTAATGGGAATATGGCTTGTTTGTCGCCTGTGGTCCAGGCCCATGGTACGTGCCCCCCTGTGTTACGCCTCTCCTTTAGGGCGCACTGTTGGGACAGGAAAGAGACCTGGTTAGGCTTTGGATGGAAACAGGCTGTAGGTTGAAGTGAGCCTGAGGTCACCCTGGACCTGTGCCCTGCCCCTTACCTTTCACCTCTGGCCCCTCAAACCTTTGGACTCTGCTCTAATGTTTGGCAGTGTCCTGTCTCCCTTCCTCCCCTTCTTCCCCCTCCGCCTCCTCCTCCTCCCTCTCCTCCTCCCCCTCCTTCTCCTCTTTCTCCTAGGTTACTGCACCAGTCATCAGGCTCTAAAATTCCCCAACTCCCTGTCCAGGACTTTCCTCCCCGGAGCTCTCAGGCCCCCCACTTCCTTCAGAGACAGACTCTTCTCAAAGCCTGACTGTAGACCACTAGACACCCAGTGTGTAGACTTTCTGAGCAAATTTGCAGTCTTCTTGGCGGTGGGGGTTATTTTTCGCTTCCTACAGGTCGGTGTGTGTATTTCTTTCACAGGTGTCCTCTCCCCACGCCCGTATGTACAGTTGCCATGTTTGGTGGAGGATATCCTTATCCACGTGTTTATGTGTTTATAGAGATAGTTTAAATATCGGAAGTACAAAGCACAGAGGCTGGCACAGCCCCTAACAAGCATCTCTGGAAGTGGCTTGTGGTTTGTATTTGTCAGCAAAGGCCCTCCCCCCTTGACCAAAGCCCCACCGCCCCCATCGGACTGCAGCAGCTACCGCCCATCAGGAAAAGCCTACCTTGCCTGTGTCCGCAGTTCCCAGCAGAGGCTGTGCGGGGTGCCTCCTGCTGCAGCTGGCTTCGGGCAAGGAAAGCTCACCTTTCAAGCCAGGGTCAAGTGGAAGGGAAGGATTGGAGGGGAAAGTAGGTGTTGCTCCCTCCACCACCAGAACTCACAGTTCAGGTGCTAGTACAAAAGGAAAGAGCGAACTTTCTAGAGGTATGTGGTGTGGGTGGAGGGCTGCCGTCACTTGGTAAATGCTCTTGACCCTACAGTCCAGTCACATGTAGCTTGCCCATGATGTCTTGGCCACGATTGCCCTCTCAAGTGTCCTAGGGTACGTGACTGTCTCCACCAATTCTATAAACATACACAGAGCCAGTGTTCTCACTGTCATGGATCTAGTTGTGCTAGAATCCTGAGAAACCCACTTCATTGGAATTCTAGTCTGTAGTAAGACATTTGGGGGATGCCTGAATACCAGAGATGGGAGCAGGGCTGGAGTCAGGGGACTAATGAGCGGAGTCTCTGTCGTTATTAATATTTAACTACTTGTGGACCTGTGGCTGGATGGGAACAGTTGAGAAATGTTCTGATGTGCAAATGAGCCACAGGCAGGTGAAGACACCCCTGGCCAAACTCATCGAGCATCTTTGTGTAAGTTGAAGATCTAATTCCGTGGTAGCCTTGGTTTGTTTTATCTTTGTTTTGAAAAGCAAGGTTCAGAAATATGACCTTAAAAAGGTGGTAGCAGGCAGCGATTAAGAGAACAGACTGACACTAGAAGACCTGAGTTCGAATCCTTACTCTGCCACTTAATCTCTGTGTTATTCTGGGCCTCTCTGTGCGCATCTGCTTCCTTGTTTTAAAAAAAATGGGGATAATAACATTACCTACTTCATTGTGTTAATGTGAGAATTAAATGAATTAATATATGTAAAATGCTTAACACAGTGCCTGGCAAAAGGCATTATGAACGTTTAATGCAATACGAATGTTATTGTTATCCCCTCCCATCCAACAGCTGTAACAATTTGTCTGGGCTCATGACACCTCTGAGGATCACCTTTCCAAGCAGTGAGTACAGTTCTCAAACCCTGCCTGGCTGAAGTAATGGGGAAGCGAGTGCCATGAGCGTCCCAGGATTTGCGGGTATTAACTGTCCTCCAGAAACACCACTCCTGCCCGCTGTGGTCAAGAAGCATCCTCACTGAATGCCAGTAGCTTAGAGAGCACTAAGACATTGATGCCTTGTCTTTATATCACTTGCCCCCAACAAAGTGCCAGGCTCAGAGCAGCCTCAGTAAGTAGCATTTGATGAAGGTGGTGGCTTGTTTTTCCTCTTCAATCTCTCTGCTCTTGGAAACAAGCAGAAGGGCAGTGGTATATGAATGACGTAGGTCAGGGCAGGAGCCTGATGATGGGTGGCAGCCATGTTGGCAAGATGCGCTCTTTTTTTTTTTTTTTTTAAAGATTTTATTTATTTATTTGAGAGAGAGAGTGAGAGAGAGAAAGAGCACAAGAGGGGGGAGCGGGAGAGGGAGAAGCAGACTCCCTGCCGAGCAGGGAGCCTGATGCGGGACTCGATCCCGGGACTCCAGGATCATGACCTGAGCCGAAGGCAGTCGCTTAACCAACTGAGCCACCCAGGCGCCCAAGATGCACTCTTAATAAGGGAAACTTTTAGAAAGCTGTCTTCCCACGGTCTGCCTGCCTGTTTAGTGAAAACCCCTCTAACTTAGCCTTACCCCTACTTCCAGGTCTGTAACGGACTCTGGTTAATGCTGGATTTGCCCACAGAGGGGTTCAGAGTTAATATTAATCTCCAGGATTAAAGAAATCATGTTTATTAGATAGAGAAAGATATCCAGTGGGGTTTGGGGGAAAGAGAGAGGCGGAGAGACAGAAGCAAAAAGAGAGAGACGCAGAGAGACTGAGAGACACACAGAGAGATTCTGTGAACGCTTGTGTGCTTTGGGGTAGGGGCCATGGCAGTGGCGAGAACCCGCCTCCAGCATTCCAGGAGGGCAAGGCCAACAGCAAACACCCTGCGAGAGTCACCGGCTGCCCTTTGGCTTTGGTATCAGAAATGTCCTTTACAAGTCATGGACCGTTTCTTCTGTAGAAGACACATGGAGTTGACCTTTTACCTTTCATCTCGTTTTGTGGATGTGTAAGCCATCCTGGACTAGAGAAAGTCTGGAAAATGGGGAAACCCGAAGTCCAACTCCACATTCAAGGAGCGATGCTTGGACATACCTTACATGATGCTAGTGAGTGCCTGGAGCCTTCTCTGGACGCGTCATTGTTCAGAACTATGAAGTGTTATGTGATTGGGATTATAGGGTTGAAAGGGGAGCCCTGGGGCTCCTTATCCTATTCCCCATTTGATAGATGTTTAGTTATGATGTGAAGAGGAGGTGCTCGCCATGAGACCTCAGGGACAGGGGACTTTCTGGGGTGAGTGAGACTGATGTCTCACAGGGCCCCTTGTCCAGCCTTCCCGGCTCTGTCTTGTCACTTCATTAATGGCTGGGCTCAACCCACCTCTCTGTAAAGACTGGAACCACCCATGTGACAGCCACTGGGTCCTGTGGAGTCATCTCTTGTGGTGCCTTCTTTGCAGGAGAGGTTACTGTGACATTGAGTTGCCCTGGTGCAGACCCTAGAACTCTTGGGCACTTGGAAAGCATTTTATTTGTCCAGTACACCCAGCAGCACTGAAGTGTGTGGCTTGAAGTCTTTTTGTGGATTCAGGCCCCTGTTTGGCTGGGGAGGTTAAGGAAAAGGACGTTGAGTTGTTAAAGAGAGTGGAACCCCCCACCTCCAATTCCTCCCGCCCCGGGCTCTGATTGGGATCTGCTCCTAGGAAAAGTCCTAGTGGAGTAAGTGAGTGAGTGAGTGAGTGTGTGTGTGTATGTGTGTTTGGGGACAGAGAACAGACCTGGAATTCTTTGAGGGAGGCCTTCTGAGGTCCCTAAGCTGTATCTTATTTCCTCTGCTCCTGCTTCCTGTCTTCTGGAAAGATGAAAGTGAAAGCATTAAATGTGGGCTTAATTGTCCCCCCTCTTCATCAGAGCATGAAATTTTCTGATTATGGAGGGAAGGGGGCTTGAATCCCAGGTATAGTCAAAAATGATTAATGCCACTTGTCTGCCAGCCTAATTAGACTTGGTAATGAACGAGTGTTAGCCTGCTGATCCTACAGAGTTATTAGGTGAAAGTGAATTGACATCTCCCCTCAGCGCTGAGGCTTTGGTCTGGGATCCTCTCCCCCGCAAGTTTATCAGCCACTCAGCCTCGGCCAAGCCTGGCATGTCGGCCCTGAGTGACAGGGAATAGACAGCCCCCTGCCTGGCCCCCAGGACGCTGCCTGGCTGGTGAAGTGGCTCCTGCCACAGGGACTGGCTCATGGGGGTGAAGAGTGTGTGAGGAGAGGGACCAGAGGCTCAGGCCAGGCCCAGCCCACCTCTGAGCACAGGGAGACCAGTGGTAGTGCCTTTTCCCTGAAGAGCCCAAAGGATTTTCATGCTGGCTTCCACATTCATCCTTGGAATGGCTTCCTGAGGTCAGAACGCAGGGATGCTGCTGCCGAAGTCTTACGTGGGCAAGGAGGCACCGACCGTCCCCCTGGCTAGGGGCTGGACAAGGTCAGAACCTCTCAGGTGGGGCAGAACTGGCTGGCCTCGAAGGCCTTGGGGCCATCTCAGGCTGTCGGGTCATTTCCTTCCTTCAGGCCCTGCCCAGCATTTCTGGGTCCAAAGCCACGCCCGCATAGGCTCTTC